ACCCATGGCTAAATGACCAAACTAGCCTTAGCATTAAATACCAAAGTTGTTCCTAATGATATCCTAAGCATGTTTAAACAATTTGCCAGGTCATTTAAGCATTTCATGTAGTAGTCACTCATATAGCTATTGAAAGTAATCACATGAGATATCACTTAAGTGCTTGATCATGAAATGTGGCCTTCATGAACAATGTTTCTTTTGTTAACCTAAGTGTAGCTAAAGTGTTATAGTGACCAACATTACACACTAGCATTTATCTACATATGATCATATGCATATGTTCCAAGAAATACGAGATAACAAGCAATGTTTCATATGTTTCGATCGAATGTTTCAATTGTAAATGATGATTTATGAATGCTTGATGCTCGTGCTTATGCTATGCAAGTCAAGTTATGCAAGGCTAACACCCGAGGTGTTACAACAAACACTTATGTAAATTATTTTTTGGACTATAAGATGGCAGTCAATTGTTTTGATCATAACTGGAGTTATACACCTCAAAATAATATGGTTGTGGACATTATGGAAAGCTTATGAAATTTCCTACAACTATCTTTTAATACACTTAGTGTGATTCCATAGTTATCAAGGTCAAATAATTTAATCATTCAAATCGGTCCAGAGAGCAAGCATTTCTGACAGCAGACTTCTAATAGCCGTAATTCTTAAACCATAAGGTCTATGACTATAAAAATTTAACACAAGTTAGATAACTAATTTATATACAACTTTGTTATTAACAAGTTTTACAAAAAAGACCATTATCATCATGAAATTATCAACTCAACCGAAATTATACATGCAGCCATCTAGTTGAATTATAAAGCAATAATTAACTAGTTGCATATAACCAATTACTTTTAATCCTAAATAATAACATAAACATATCATATGCATCACAAGAACCATAGGAAACATCATGGTTAAACATAACTAATTTATTTATATCTATTTATTAATTTCCTTAGATAATAGGGTGATTTAAGGGATAACTATTTCCCAAAACTTAATAAATTTTGATAAAATTATAGTAGCCTATAAATGCCCTCAATAGTCTACTGTACAAATTTCATGTCATTTATATAAGTACAACTACCTCTACAAAAATAACAAATTACATAGGATTATTTTAGTAAAAATAGTTTAGCATAGTGAAAAGTGTCAAACAACAGATTTAATATTTTTCTTACAGTTCTCCAAGCAAAAGAATACTGTGTAAAAATTTGCATGATCATATGTTACGTATTTTTGCCCCAATTAATTTCACTAGAAACTAGCAATTAATTAGGATTAAATATAAAGACCATATCCAAAGTATGACCACTACAAGTTTAGTAATTTTCCTAGCTATAGCATGTCAACACAAAACCAGCAAAATTGGAATCACAATTTTATCATCTTTCTAGCTCAAGTTATGCATTTAACAAGATAGAAACCATTTAAAAAGCATTTATCTAGCTACATTTTATTCACCCATAAAAATACCATAAACAGTGGATCTCATATTTTTATCAAATACTACACTTTAAGATGAAACTAACAAAATTTGGTTCATCAAAATTGGACACTCCTGGCTTGAGGTATGAATTTTTAAAACATGCATTCAAATCTATGAAATAAATCTAGAAAATTAGATATTATACACAATGACAGTTGGGGCCCGTAGTCAATGGGGACCCATGCGTCAGCGACACTAAAGCAGAGGGCGGAGCCGACCTGCGAGAACTCGCCGACGGCGAGGTCTCCAGCGGTAGCATCTTCACCACTGGCCTCATCTCATCCATGTGCATCAACTGATAGGCTTAGTTGGCCCGGTGGCTCACCGCAGCAAACTCGATTGCGGCCATGACGGATAGCGGAGGTCGGCGGCAGTATGCCGGCCATCTCCGGCTATGGCAAACTCAGGAGAGGACGGCTACTCCATCCTGGCGACCTAACAGAGCTATATGACGCAGGTGAGGCTCGGGGTGGCGTCGGTGAGCTCGGCCGCGTGCATGGTCGTGCGGCGACGCACGGAGCACAGTGGTGCTCATGCTGTTCCAGCTCTAAACGTCAGCAAAAGGTGGGTCTCCATCATGCCATTAGCGAGGCCTAGGGTTACTTGACCTAAGGCGCACAAAAAAAGAGGGAGACGGTGAACCAACTTGATAGTGGCGAGCTCTAGTGCCACGGCAGCCATGGCGGGTGCGCGCGGGGCGATGACTCGTTCCAGCGCCACCATGTGGTGGTGTCATCCCTAACTCTGACCTAAGCTGCTTGACTCTATCGCGGTGCTGGACCAAAGAAAACGAAGACACACGGTGCGGCGTAACGGTACGGCGGGGCCACGGTGAGCCGCGAGCACGGCGACGCTCCGGTGATGGCGGCGGCCGCGGCGAGGCAAAATGCGGCCTTTACCCTTGCTCAAATGGTGGTGCTAGCGGGTCGCCAAGGTGGAGGAGGTGGTGGCGGAGCTGTGAGCAAGATGGATTGGATGATGGTGTGGTGGCGGTTGCGTGCGCGCTCGGCGGAGGTGCGGCAGCGACAGCGGCACTACGGTTCCACACAGGCGCGACGAAGGCGAGGCACACAGAGGGCGAGAGAGCGAGAGTGAGTGAGCACGGTGGGTCTGTGGCGCGCAGGGCGCTTCGTGCCCTGATCGGTCGGGCCAACGCCTGGCGTCACCGCCGCCACTGTGTAGCCACGGCGGCCACGGTCGGTCCCACATCGCCGGGCGCTGTGTGATGTGGGTTCAGCGCCACGATCGCTTAATCGACAGCAGTGACTTTTTGATCCCATAACTCCTAATCCGTGGCGATTTAGCAAAAACTTTCTTAATGAAAGTTGTAGAGCTACATGAGATCTCCAACTTTGCTTTAAGAATCATCATCTAATTCTCACTGGTTAATAAACTACAATGCTCCAAAGTGAGGTACATTGAAACTGAGAATCGTTCCAACACTTAAAAAATTTTGCAAGTCTCGAAACAGCATTTTATTGATACTTATGAGATATTTTTTAGCATGCTATGCACTTAATTAGACCTTGACCCAAAAATAAAAGTTATTACCCTAGTCAAGTACTACAACTTTGCTTAAGGATGCACTGCCATGCAAATACTCTATGCTATAGTTCAACTTAGGTCAAACATACAACTTAAAAATGAAAGCCTACACTATAACCATAACTTAGAGGTCAAATGGGTCCAAGTCATGAATACCAAAGTTGTTCCATGTGACATTCTAAACATGTTTAAGGTACTTCTAAGGTCCCACAAATATTTTATACATTGGTCACATGTAATCCCCAGCATATGTAAAGCATTTAGCAACCAACACATGTGACATAAGCAATCCTAGATATAAAATTTGAGATGCTCATGCTCATGAATGATCAATGATGTTTGTGCTCATGCAATGCCAATGCCAAATGCATGCTTAACACCTAGGGTGTTATAGCCTCTATAGACAGAGCGATCTGGATGTACTTCACCGGCACAGAGTGGAGGTACTTGGAGACCGCCTCTTCTTCGTCGATGGTGACGCCGTGGCTCCTTAGCTTGCTGATGAGCGACTGCGGGTGGAGGGAGAAGTCCTCCACCGACTCACCATCCTTAAACTTGAGGTTGGCGTACTCCTGCTTTAGCAGCTGGGCCGTCGCCTTCTTTGCGCGATCGGAGCCGACGCGCATCGCTGCAATGGTCTCCCCCGCCTCCTTAGCAGAGTTCTTAGCCCCAACGGCTCCCGATACTCCGCTGGCACAGCAGCGGGGATAGCCTCAAACGCTGACATATCATATTTTTTGTTGTCGGTGCCCTTATCAATGGCATTCCAGAGCCATTGGGCTCTGAGCTTGACCTTCATAGTCACCGCCCACTCGTCATAGTTGGTGCGAGTCAGTGTCGGCCAACTGGTGCCGCTAACCTAACGCACCGTGCGCACGACGACCTCCTATCGTGGTTGGGTAGCTACATCAGCGCTGCTGTTGTCGTCCATCTCCGAACCGTCCGTCATCGCCAGCGGTTAGTCCGGCGACGGCGCTTGTACGGCTCTGATACCACTTGTTGGCCCCTGGATCTCCCGCGCGGGTGAGCCGACCGCTCATCGTCGTTCCCGACCACACACTACGGCTGGAGGAAGAAGAGGAAGAGAGAACAGAGCCCGCACACACACACAGCACAAGCACCAGCGTTGACCGGAGCTCGACAGAGAGAGATGGCAAAACTGAACTCATTCTCTTTACTGAGTTACAGTGGAAAGTTATATATACAACTCTACCCATCTAATCCTAGTACATAGACATGTCAGGCTGTCATGCTATTATAGTTACTAGATGTGACAGCAGGGCTGACTTTAACATCTGTTCCAGCTATGGCTACAGTGCGGTAGGAGAGCATTTCGGTGTCTACCCCTACCGCGGCATATAGTGCAATAGTAGGAAAACCCTTTCAACATCTGTCTCTGCCGCACGTTCAGAAAGAGAGTAGCAGATTACTTTATACGGGAACACGCGAGCGGCGCTGAAGAGTCCCTCACTTGACACACCTCGAGAGACGTCCGTAGGTCTGACGACGCACGCACACGCGTCGAAAATGTAGGACGGGGCAAAGCCGCCACAACTGCCACCAGTTGCGCCTCACGCAGGAATAGGATAACTGCCATGCACGCCACACACGGACACGGCCGCTCTCGCTTCCGCTACCGCTTCGTAGGTGCGTGTCGCCCGCCGGAAGGGTCTCGTCGCACACGCGTCGCGCGCCGCGATGATACCGAGCTCGCGATCTGTCCCTGCGTCGCGTACGTCCGCGTCGGCGCACACGCGCTGGCGCCTGCCCTCGCGGCGCATCGCCCATCAGCTGTTATAAAAGGGGCGGCGCCGGGTCCATATACAGTCGTCATCAACGACAACCCCAGACAACACTCCCCTGGTAGCTAGTAGCGCCGCTGACATTTCCAGCAGAGTCCAAGACTCCAAGCACCTTGGTGAGCTAGCTAGCTATAGCTAGTTAGACGACAATGGCGTCCGATCAGGGGGAAGGCAGGAAGTCGAGACCTGGAGCCGCTGATGGTACAAAATAACCAAGCGCGTGTTTAGTTACAGGAACTTAAAATTTCGTCACCAGAGTACGCCGTTTTTATTTGGGATTAGTGTTCAAATATGGCTAATTAGGTTTAAAGTGTCGAGACCAGGAGCACATTTCGCTGATGGTACTTTTGGAAAAATAAAACCAACTGCCAGTGCCAGCCATCTTTATTAATTAGTTTCCTGTTGTTGGCTTTAATTACCTCGACGTTTGCATGCAGGGCGCAGCCGCGGGGGGGCAGACTCGCAAGGAGCAGCTGGGGCACGAGGGGTACAGCGAGACGGGGAAGAAGGGCGGTCTGAGCACCACGGAGAAGTCCGGCGGCGAGCGCGCCGCCAGGGAGGGTGTCGACATCGACGAGTCCAAGTTTAGGACCAACAAGCAGTCCTAGACGCGTGCGTCCGTAGCTGTCTGTTAGTGTACCTTGGCCGTAGCTAGTAGTACTATCTACTTTGGAGAAGTAGCTGAAAAATAATGTAGGGCGCGGCGTCGTCGTCGCAGCATGCATGTAGGCGATCATGCATACGTACGTACATGTATGATGTAGGTGTGTATGATCATGTATGCTTCCAGAAGGGTATCCTAATCATGTCGTCAGTCGTCAAAGTGGCAGGTTCGCTTCAGGCTTTGTAGTTTGCTAGCCTGTATGCATGCGCGCGTGTCCGCCTCGTGAAGTGGTTGAGCATGCATAGTCCTCTGTTAAGGACGCTTTGTATCCATGTTCCATGGCTCCTAAATAATCAGTAATGTAAAGCTAGTTTGGTGTATTAAGTGATCACCACGTCGTCGGCTTTTCTTGATAGTACTAGCTACCTACGTACACAAAACAGGATGAAATCAACTACTATTTTAAAAGAAAGGGAATTTATTAATTTATGTGTTCGAACTTTGAACTCATGGTCATTAATGTATCACGAGATGAAAATTATCTTTTAAGACTGCCAGGGTCACAACATATATACCGAGGTATGATCGCAGCGTCATTTGACTCGTTTCCACATGGCCCTTCAACAAATTCTATTCCCCGACCAAGCAAAGAAGTTTTTGACGAACTGTTTTTTTTTAAATGGTATACCGTACGTGGAAAGGAAAATGAGAACACTAGTATATATGGCACTCTTGGCATTGTTCGTCTTTGACTCCGTATGGGAGAGGACAACGACAGCGTCAGGACAAGATGGACGAGTTGCGGGAGGCTTATTAAGGCCTTGTTTACAGGTGTAAAAAAAATCACAGAATCCGTTAGTAATCCACTAGACGAATTTATTAAGTCTAATTAATATATCATTAACACACCACATTGTCAAATCATGTACTAATTAGACTTAAAAATTCGTCTCATAAATTAGTCGTAAATTGTACAATTAATTATTTTTTAATTTATATTTAATACTCTATGTATGTGTTAAACATTTGATAGGATAAGGAGTATATTTTAGGGGATGAACTAAACACAGCTTAAAGGTGAAATATATCACGCTACAGTATCAAAGAACAAGGGATGATATTATTTTTCTACAGAACCAAGCACAGCTGCACAGACAAGGTCACATCGATAGTAGTTATAATTTATAAAAAGGTATGAAATAAACACATTCAAACTTTAGGTAACAATTTAATTATTATAATGTAAACTTAATACGGTTAGATTTAGAATTAAATACAAATATAAATAATATAATATAAAATAAAGAATAAAAGTATAATTTAAAATACAGTCACATCAAATTATGTCTTATAAATAAATGATCATAAAGGAGAATGGAGGGTACGGCGGACGAAGTATCAGGAGTCTACTCGCTCCCCCGCGCCAAAATAAATAATATTTTTAAATTTTAGACATCTTATTTAATGGTTCGTTTTATTCAAAAGTTTTATATAAATATTATCTAATTTACTATAATTTATTTTATAATTAAAGATAATTTAATAATAATTTATTCAGTTTATAATTTATATAAAAATTTTAAATAAAATAAATGGTTAAACAAGAATTTTGAAAGTCAAAAATATCGCTTACTTGAGCGGAGGATGACATCATATCAACACTCTATTTGCTTGATCGTATCAATCATACTCATTAGTTATGATACTGTATTTTTTTTTTGTCACGACAAAATAGCATTGGCCGGCTTAAGAGAAACGATCCAGCTTTGCTTATAAAAGGCAGTCCGGCTCGGTGTCTGCCCCCGTGTCTGCCCCAGCCGCACGAGATTCAATCGAGCAAAATCGGGAGGAGGATCTATTCGTGGGTAGGTGGTCATGGCCGCGGCAGCGCTCCCTCGATCCATGGCGAGAAAAGCTATCACGCGCACCGCCGCCGCATCCTCGTCCTCCTCTGGCAGGCGGACTCCATGGCGGCGCCCGCTCAGGTCCTGGGTGCTCCTGTTGCCGCCGCTAACCAGCAACCAGATCCGTCAAGTGAGTGGGGATCGATTGGTTGTGGGCATGGCCGCCGCCGCAGGGCTTCGATCCGGAGCAGCTCTCCCATCTTGGCCACCAAAAGAGCACGCGCACCACCGCAGCCGCACCATCGTCGTATTCTGCAGAATCGTGGACTGCATAGCAGCACCACGGCGCCGCCGACCAGCGACAAGGATAAAATAATTGAGGATCTTCGTCTTCGTCTATGGCACGCGAGAGCTTCGGCCGGTATCGGTGGCTTTATGCTCACCGGTATCGCGGTACTTTTGGTTGCTCCCCGAGGTGGAGAAAGAGAGAGAAAGATTGCAGGCCACTAAGAAGCTCAAGCCTGAAGATGAGCGTCGTAGTGTTTCTCTAGCTCAAATCATCGCAAGAGAAGGCCATAGGAAGCAGCAGCGCAATGGTACAATGGTTGGCAAGTCACAAGAAGATTTGATGGAGGTTTGTTTGGACATCCTCAAGGAGACAACAGCTGGCCTCGAGGAGGCACGAGCTGATCTCAAGGAATCCCGAGCTGCTATTGACCGGATAGCCAAGTTAGCTCCTTCAAAGCAGAAGGAAGGGTGTAGCCGAATGGGATCAGAAACTGTTACTTATTGAGTGTGTCTGCTCATATATATGCTCATGGCTGATAGCCAGTGGTTGAGTCCCCTGTAACATGCCCTCTTAAGTAGCTACTTAATTGTTTAATTAGTTAATGATGCAAGAAAAACTATGCTTGTAAAAGAGAGAACGGAGGGTGGAAGGAGTAGCAGGAGTGTTTATATCCCTAAAATAACATATCAACTGTGCTTTAAAAGAGTACATCTAAGATAACTTTTTTTCGCGATGGGGGAATATAGCCCAGTTTTTCATTAAGAGGAGTCAATTACACAACACACTTACGAAAGAGCCTCGTAGCACAGATTACAAACCACTAAGCTATTGGTGAGTAATCTGGGATACAACTATTACAATATAACCACTAAACTAGTGGTGAGTAATCTCCGCTGAAAAAGGATACAGCCATTTTTAAGACAAACAAACGGGGCCATAAAAGAAGAAAAGAAAGAACAATTGCCCTCGACACCCAACACCTACCAACTGACCGTGCAACAATAGGATACAACGACGCGATGGTTGCCTACAAATTAGACAATGCCCTAGTGGCAAAGTATCCAACCAGCGAAGAGAGGCGAGCATCCAACAGCAAGGGCAGCAAAGCATCCGCCATCTAAGAATCTAAGATAACTATCAGATCTAATAGATGTAAACAACTTAGATAATATATTATACATCTAAAATTAGTATATAACTTTTGATATACGTATTTAGATATGCATTATATCTATCTAGATATATATTATACATCTAAAAGAGTTAAGCGCAGTGCTAGCATCCGGATGTCCGGACAGACGCCCGCGTGTTGCACTCTATTTCACGTGCTCCACGCGGGGCCCTACCAACGCCAGGAGGAGGACACACCGAGACGATGCAGTAGAAGGCGAGGAGGAGAGATGCAATATCCGATCTACGTTTGGAACATCCAAATGCAACAGTTGCAACATACGTCTAAAGACATATGAAACACTTGAAAAAAACTGAAAACACTTGAAAACCATTGCAAACATACATAACATCTAGAAAAAACGCTACAACTTATGTGTGAAACATATGCAACATTCAGATAAACACACTTGCAACATGTATCTGGAAAAAACATAGATGAAATATTGGTAACAGACCTTTGCAACATACGTGTACAACCATTGCAACATATGCAACATCCCTAACCACTTTTGCAACATCCATCTGAAAACACTTGCAACATACCTTTAAAATATCTGAAACACTCGAAACATACGCTTGCAACATGCACTTTCAGCAAGAGATGGCAGCCAGGCGGGCAAAGCACGGCATAGCGGGATCCGGCTATGCATTCGTGGTGGAGAAGGAGGATGGCAGCGGCGGGCGGGCGGTCTGTGCCTGCCCAGTGAGCAGATTCTGTTGCCCCGGCGATAGGCGCTGCGCGGTGCTCTGCGCTAGAGGCGACAAAGAAGAATGGTGGTGGCTTGCCATGCACGGCGAAAGCACGCTTGATGGCGGTGGAGAGAGAAGGCCGGGCGGTGGAGAGGAAGGCCGGTCGAAGGCGCGGTAGAGAGGGAGGCGTACGGGAGCCACGGCGGAGCCGGTCGTGGAGCGCAGTCATGGTGATGCGTGAATATTTTTTTAATCTACGATGACCGGAGGGAGCGGATATGCTTCTGAACGCCGTGTCCACCAACAGGAATGTCCACGAGCGGATAGACGTGTGACTCCTAGCATTACCGTTTATAATTTGATGAAACGGAGAGAGGGAGTAGTAGTCTAGCTAACAGAAAAATATTAGCCATCTCTCTGGCGCTGCTACATATTTGACAATATGTCTATTTATTCTTTTTCTATTTAGCACCATAGACTTCTGCTAAATAAGAGTATTCATGTCATTTTGCCAACCACTTGACATGATTACTTGTCCAAATGGACGCCAGTGTAATTTACGGAAGAAAATTTTAACTCGGTATTAGATAAAGAAGTTTAAATTTTTTTAGTGCCAAATAAGAAAGACTTGTTTGTTTAAGTGCCAAATAAATAATTTTATCGAAGAAAATTGAGGTCAAACTTTGTAAAACATCGGTGTTTTTTAACTTTTAAGAAAGAGCCTATCTAGTTTTCATAGGCACGGTAAATGCTTGATGATTTTAGAAAAAAAAATCATTCTTATCCCGTGTGAAATTTCAAAAAATCATTGTTATCCCGTGTGAAGTTTCAACTGCGATATGTCTTTTTGAGCTCCACTTTGAAGAAAACTCTCCAGCGCTTAAGTTCGAACATGTGGTCTGGCTGAATTCAGGAGAATGTAATGTAATTGTAGCCCACCACTCCACTATAGACATGTAATTCGTATACACGTCATATATGGTGTGCCTCCATGGTGAGTGACCAACAGCTTCTCAGACAGAAAAATGCCAAGACGAAGTGGGGCAACAGGCGGCGGTCAATGCCATCCCTGTACACTGTCTCGCCGGGCGCCTGGTCTCATCCGGTCGGTCATGCCTCTCGGTCTCGGTCTCGGGTGCCGAGCGCACGCACACACGCGGCGGCAATGCAGCATGGCCGGAGCACCAGCTCGTCCCCATGCTACAGTAGTGCTGTTACCAGGCAGCTTCCAGGCGCGGTCGGTGCGTGCTTCAATTCCCTCCGCCTCCTGGCCGGTCGGATATAACTACGGTCTACGGCGCACGCGCACGCATATGCATCTCTGCCCGGCGAGGACATGCGCTCTCGCTCACATGCGCGCAGGCCCTCCTCGCTCGACACGCACGTACGTGTCGCCCTCGCGAGGCCTTACCGCACACGCGTCGCGTCGCGCCGCACGGCCTTCGAGGGACCTTGCATTTCGGCCGCGTCGGCGCACACGTCCCCGGCCCCGGCTCCTGCTGGGCCCTGGCCTCGCGACGTGCCGCCTCTCCAGACGGCTATAAAAAGGCGGCGCCACCTGATCCTCCATACCACACAAGGCAAGCCATCCAGTACGTAGCTAAAGAACAGTACGTCCTGCGTACGTCTAGTAACAATCCACACCGAGCTCTCGTGAGCTTCGTTCGTTAGTTTGAGGTCGACGGCGATGGCGTCCGGTCAGGAGAGCACGGAGGAGCTGGAGCGCATGGCCGAGGAGGGCCAGGCCATCGTCCCCGGCGGCACCGGCGGCAAGTCCCTCGAGGCGCAGGAGCACCTCGCCGAAGGTTTGTAACCTACGGCCGGGCGGCCGGCGGCCAGCCTTTTTTATCATCTTTCTAGCTTGACTAGTCTACTATAGGACCACTACTACTTACAGCGTAAATGGCCAAGAACTGACCAACGAAATGACTGAATCCTCTGTTGATGTGTGCGTGCAGGGCGCAGCCGCGGCGGGCAGAAGGGCGGGCAGACCCGCAAGGAGCAGCTGGGCCACGAGGGGTACCAGGAGATGGGCAGCAAGGGCGGGCAGACGCGCAAGGAGCAGCTGGGCCACGAGGGGTACCAGGAGATGGGCAGCAAGGGCGGGCAGACGCGCAAGGAGCAGCTGGGCCACGAGGGGTACCAGGAGATGGGCAGCAAGGGCGGGCAGACGCGCAAGGAGCAGCTAGGCCACGAAGGGTACGGCGAGATGGGGAAGAAGGGCGGCCTGAGCACCAAGGAGGAGTCCGGCGGCGAGCGCGCCGCCCGGGAGGGCATCGAGATTGATGAGTCCAAGTTCAGGACCAAGTCCTCCTAGATCTGATGCCCGTGTGCGTACGTACGTGCCCGTAGCATGGAGTAGCTGCAGGAAGGTTGTGTAGTAGGCTAGTCGTAGCACGTGCCACTCCAGGTTTGCACGTGTGCACTGAATAATGTAGGGCGTCAGTCGTCGTCGCAGGACGCATGTAGGCGGTCCTCGTGACTGTGTGTTGGAGGCAGGTTTCTTCAGGCTTTGTCGTCGGAGTTTAGCAGCCTGTGTTCTGGCTCTACCCCAATATAGTCCCTAGTGTTTGGTAGGTCTAGCACCTGATGCCTCAAGGTCGTCGAGTTTGTTTGTATCCATGCTTTGTTTCGGTAACGGAGTTGTTGGTTCATAACACATAAGAATCTTCTCTGTTCTTTCGCCTACTGCAATTTGTTTGGAGTGATCCTCTTCATACGAGGAAAGGATATAGCTAGTTTGGCACAAAGAGAAACCAGAACGGAACGGAAACATAGCACCTCGCCTGTCCCAGAGTTGTAGGAGGTATAGCCTGCGAAATAGATACAGCATCGTCAGTAGAGCTTTGACATTCACCTTATTTCTCCCGATGAGTAGAGCTTTGACATTCACCTTATTTCTCCCGATGAGAGTGCGTAAGCACCTTGGAAGCAGCAATTCTAACAAGGTCTTTGATGTGCTCGCTCTCCCATCTCCCATAGTGTTTGCTTTGAGAGACAAGTCTTGAAACCACACTGGGCAAACTAGTCAATTACATCAAAGAAATAACTCGCTACACTACCGAGTGAATAGATGGAAGCCAGCTTTCCTGCTTTGTGCATTGATATGGTATGACACCGCCGATTTATGCTCTTTAGGAAACCTGAATGCTGCGAACTCGTTCATTACAGGCCTTATTTATGTTGGTGAATTTTTTGGGAAATAATACTATAGTATTTTTGTTGTTATTTATCAATTAGTGTCCAATCATAGTCTAATTAGGCTTAAAAGATTCGTCTCTTAAATTTCGTCTAAACTGTATAATTAGTTTTATTTTTTATTTATATTTAATGCTTCATACATGCGTCCAAAGATTCGATGTGATGGGAAATTTTAAAAAATTTTACAAAATTTTGGGAACTAAACAGGCACACAGTGTGGATGGGCAGTCAGCGACAATCTTTTAAGATCAAAATGCTATACAAACACACATGTGTTTTAGTAAAAAAAAACACATAGATTTTTTTTCTCTCTCTCTCCCTCTTTTCAACTGTCTTCTCGGCCTATACGTGCATGCACTCCCGCAGCGGCGTGACCAACTCGGCGCGCCAGCCAGCGGAAGACCACCCGTCCTATACGCGTGCGGCCGGAGGACCTCATGTCCAACGCCCAATTTATCCTTTTATCCTTACATAGAACCTATACGTGTATACGCGTGCGACCGGAGGACCGCCTGTCCGACGTCAATTTATCCTTTTGTCTTTGCATAGAAAAAAAATATTTCTTGTGATATGTAGATCTGTGATCTTGTGATTGTCTGGAGGTAGAAAAAAGCTGGAGGTAGAAAGAGGATGAAGACTGTTGGATCCATTTCTATAGTAAAAAAAATTCATGTGTTAAAACTACGTAAAACACATGGTTGCGTGATAGCATACTCTTCAGGATTGATCATACAACAATACGGCCGTAACGCAAACCTGCTTGTTCAAAGCATTGCCACTTCAGCCGCTAACAATGGCACAACAACAATCTTACCGTGCACCTACTGACCCTACTACAACATCCAGCGATACTGCTAACTTTTCCTCCCACCACATAACCCTTACAAAATCGATCTGTGTTCTACAAGTAAAAGGATGTTATCTTCCTACCCTGGACACAAGCAGCTACTAGCTTATTAACCGGTCACCACACCTGGAACAGTTTGCCTCTTCGGTAGCAGAACGGTTGCGGGTTCGGTTTGAGTTGGATGCTTTCATTAATGACTGGTTGCCAGGGCTGTCACCAGTAGGCCGAACACGAAGAACGGCTGTGCGCTTGCCATTATCAGCAAAGTAAGATTGTCCGGATCAGATTATGGTTACCTCAAGCTGTTCCCTACTTGTAGGTTCCGACTAGCTAAGAGCTTCAGAACGGGAAAGGCTGGATCGGAAGTAGTAAAAGAGTGGGAGAAGCAGCTGAAGCACACCTGATATTTGACATCATACTTCACAGGGTCCTTCAGGAAGTACTGGAACTGCTCCAGGAAAATAAGAAGTATTAGAATGCACAAAATCGGAAGTGGAACTGTTAATGAAACAGAGTAACAGACAACCCTGTTACCTCCTCCGCTACGTTGTTCATGTTTCAGACATGCAGTGTTAGATAAAAGAAATGTGCTTATCTGCAATGTTTTATTTAAAACAAACCAAACCTACGTTCAAACTACTATTTGGAGGATTATAGTCTATATAGAGCGCACAAAAACAAAAGTGGATGTGTTAATGAATTAGGCAGCCCCTCTTGTCTCCTCCACTCTGTGGTATTGTTCGTGTTTCCTTTATGCATTGTGGATAAAAATGTCCTTAGTAGCAATGTTTCATTCAGAGCAGAGATATATTCAATACTGTTTTCTGGAGGTAACCAAAAGATATGCAGTTTTGCAGCCTTACAGATAAAGCTATTCCTCATAGGTCAAAAAGTTTGAACCTAGTACCACGCAGGGAGAAAGGGACTTTGCTTCAGACATTAAAACATCTGGAACAAAAAAAAATCCGCCCACACAAAAAAAAGGTGCGACAAGAACAGTCAGGTATACCTGAAAGAACACCTGAGGAATTGTTAGCCCAAGCAACACCAGGGCATAATACAGCTTACCAGTGCTCAATAGGTAACCTGAAAAGATGAAGAATGGAACATTAATGTTACAATTTCCTATCAAAATTCAACATAATAGCATCAAGCTATGGATGTGTTCCCTATTTTCTACTGGTAGAATATGGCAACATGCAAGACCTGAAGAAAATATAGCTACAAAATCTCATGCATAGTGTGCTGACATTTCAAATCTTTGGAATCTAAGCTGAAAAGGTTTCAATAAGCACATCTTGTTCAAAGCTGTATTATCATGATATAGGGGAACTTCAAATCTGATGCATTATCATGATAGCAGGAGTAAGAAGCCGTGAACAGCATGACAACCAAAATATGGTATGCAGATCGAACTAGTACAGTAAGAATTAAAGTGAAGGCGGATTGTATGACAAAGGAAAAAAGCAACAGATGCCTTGCCTGCAACAGATAATTGAGTGATATCAATTGCTCCAACACATATCCATTTTGCAGTTTCCATCCCAAAAGCAACAGGAAGTGACTACAAAATTTTAAACAGATTTTTTTTTAAAAAAAAGTGAAACTGTTATTGAGAAGCACGTTAATGATAAATATTTGCACAAAAAAGGAGTATAACCTGAAGCCCCAGAGTTCTATCCCCTTCAATGCTCTTAAAATCATTTACAATAGCGATCCCTAGCTGCATAATCATAATCAGGAAAAAAAGGTCAATCATCATGACATGTATGAATGATCAAAAGAAAGCCAAACAGGATGTGGAGACAAAATACCCCAGCTATGCTGTACAAAGTAGTCAAGACAACGATTAGCCTGTTCGCGTGCTCGTAAACGATTGTAAATTTCCAGCCGGGAACAGTGTTTTTCTCTTACACCAAACCAGCCAGCAGTAAATAATCCACGATACGATACGGCCTCCCGAACAGGCTGGATATCCGGTGTAAGAGTTCCAAATAACTACTGGTAGAATATGGCAACATGCAACATGAAGAGAAATCAGCAATATTGATCATTCCAGGGCAAGCTGGTGTAACTTGCACCCAGAGCGAAGTTCCCAATCCATCCATTCTGCTTGAGCTGAAATGATGAAGTTTTTGTTGGCCCACAGGATCACCGGCTCAGATGAGTCAACCACTCACCAGTCTTGCCGACCACGATAAGCGTTGTCCGATCACACACTATGGCTAGAGGTAGAAGAAGGGAGGGAGAACAGAGCATACACACACAGCACAAGACACCAGCGTTGGCCGGAGCTCTGTATAGGAGATGACAAATCTGAACTCTCTTTACTGAGTTGCAGTGGCAAACTATATATACAACTCTATCAATTTAGTCCTAGTACAGCTGTCATGCTGTTACAGTGACTAGATGGGCTGACTCGGCCTGCCCTGCTGTGGCTTCTGAAGGCGGCATGTGGCGTTGCTCGCGCGCCCTGCAGCAGAGCAGCCTACAAGATACCACAAATAGGTACCTTTTCGGCGCCGCCTTTCCTCGCCTTATGTTCACACAAGAGAGTAGTAGATTATCTAACAATTATTTTCCTAATCCTACTGCTAACCCTTGAACCCCCTCTATGCCGATCATCTCCTTCAGCTCCGTGAGTCGAAGACGGCCGAGCGGCTTGGTGAGGACGTCCGCGAGCTGCCGACCAGTTTCGACGAATTCGATGATGATCTGCCCTCCATCGACACAGTCCCTGAGGAAGTGGAACTTCACGTCGATGTGCTTGCTCCGGTCGTGGAGAACCGGATTCTTCGCGAAGGCGATGGCGGGCTGGTTGTCCACCATCAGTGCTGGTGGGTGAGCTTCCACACCGGCCAGCTCGTCCAGCAGCCGGATCAGCCACACAACTTGGCACGCCACTATGGCCGCCGCTACGTACTCTACCTCGCACGTAGATAACGCCACCACCTTCTGTTTCAGCGATAGCCATGAAATTGGAGCCGACCCGAGGAAGACGAGCACGCCAGAGGTGCTCCGCCGTCCGTCTATGTCCCCCGCCATGCCTGCGTCGCTGAACACAATGAGCTGCAGCCTACTTCCGCCGATCTTGGGGAAGACGATCCTCTGATCCACCGTCCCCTTGATGTAGCGCAGTAGCCGCTTCACTGCAGCCCAGTAATCCTCTCTATGATCCTCCATGAAACGACTGACGTAGCCCACGGCGAACGCAATGTCTGGCCTCGTGTGGACTAGGTAGCGTAGACCGCCGACGATGCTTCGGTAGAGTGTTGCATCTACCTTCGCCGCGGTACTGGTCTTCGTTAACTTCACCGCTCCTCCATCGGAGTCACGTATGGCTTGCACTCAGCCATGCCGCTCCGCTCCAACAGCTTCGAGGCGTACGCGCTCTGACCGAGCGTGAGTGCCTCCTTCTTGTCTCACCTCGATGCCGAGGTAGTAGGAGAGCGCGCCGAGATCGCTCATTCGAAAACGAGCCGCCATCTCGAGCTTGAAGCTGTTGATGTCCTCCGCACGCGCACCGGTGACGATCAAGTTGTCCACATACACGCCGACAACGAGCTCCTCCTTCCCCTGTCGCCGCATGTAGAGCGCGTGCTCGGTTGCGCATCTTGTGAACCTAAGCTCGCCCAGCGTGGAAGTCAAACTTGGCATTCCACGCTCGTGGAGCCTACCGCAGCCCGTAGAGCGCCTTGTGCAGTCGGAGCACCCTGTGCTCCACTCCCTTGACGGCGAAACCCGAAGGTTGTCTAACGAAGAACGTCTCCGCTAGCTCGCCGTTGAGGAAGGCCAATTTACGTCCAGATGATGGACACGCCAGTCCTTTGCTGCTGCCAAGGCTAGTAGCAAACGGACAGACTCCATGCGCGCTACTGGCGCAAAGACTTCCTCGAAGTCGATGCCCTCACGCAGGACAAAGCCTCGGACGACGAGGCGCGCCTTGTGCTTGACAATGGCCCCGTGCTCGTCCCGCTTGACTTTGTACATCCACTTCAGGCTGATCGGACGGCATCCGGGAGGTGGATCGATGAGCTCCCAAGTCTAGTTTTCCTCGATCGCCTTCATCTCCTCCTGTATCACCCGTCCCCAATTTCCATCGCGCTCGCCCAGCACGAACGTGGGTGGTTCCTCTACACTGACGAGCAGCAGCTCTGGGTCATTGAGCAGCTGACCCGCCAGGCCTGAGGGCCCTGTGCCGCTGACGATGTCATTTAGCCTGTGGAACCGCACCTCCTCATCGTTGTGGAAGGCATCCACGAACTCAGTGATGTCACTTGGAGGTGAGGCGAACTCGATCAGCGTCGATGGAGTTCCCTGTTCCGCCGGAGTGGTCGGCACCCTAGCTGCAGTGCTCGGCCCTACTCCTGGATCGCTCGTCACCACTCCTAGAGTGGTCTGCACCCCTCCCGGAGTGCTCGGCCCTCGTCTTGCAGTGGTCGGCACCACTGCAAGACCCCTCGGCTCCGCTACGGGAGTGTTCGGCACCCGTCCTAGAGTGGTCGTCACCACTGCAGGACCTCCTGGCTCCACTCTTGGAGTGCTCGGCACCCCTCCCGGAGTGCTCGGCACCTCATCCCTAGCTTCTCCACCACCGTGGATGACCAAGTGCTCGACGACGAAGGTGCTGATGAAGCCGCCAGCTGCCCCCGTGCTCGAACTGTTCTAGTCCCAAGCCACCTTCTCATCGACCACAACATCGCGCGAGACAAGCACCTTGTCTCTGCGTGGGTCGTAGAGCCGATACGCCTTGGTACCCTCCGCGTAGCCCAGGAACACCATCAGTGTGCTCCTGTCCTCCAGCTTGGTGAGGATCAGCTTCGTCTTTCTGACGTGGCCGATGCAGCCGATTGTCCAGAGAAAGGACACGCTCGGCTTGCGCCCATACCAAGCTTCGAACGACGTCTTGCCATTTAGGGCCTTGGTGGGCGCACGGTTGAGGATGAATACTGCCGTGGTCACCGCCTCACCCCAGAACCTTGGCGGCATTCCTTTGGCCTTCATCATGGATCGAGCCATGTCGACCACCGTCTGGTTCCGTCGCTCCACCATGTCATTCTGCTGTGGTGAGTACGGCGCGGTGTGGTGTCGCACCACACCCTGATCCGCGCAGTACGTAGCGAACTCCACCGAAGTGAATTCGCCACCGCAATCAGTTCTCAGCATGCGGAGCTTCTTGCCGGTCTTGGCCTCCGCGCTCATCTTGAACTTCTTGATCACCGCCGCCACTTCGTCCTTGCTGGTCAGGAGTTGCAGCCACATATAGCGACTGCAATCATCCATGAGCAGGAGGAAGTACCGCCGACCACCGTTTGTGGCTGGCATGATTGGCCCGCAGAGATCTCGTGGATGAGCTCGAGAACATCCGCCGCGTGATACTTGGCCTCCTTTGGGAACGACAGCCTCCTCTGCTTCCCGGACAGGCAGCTATCAAACAGCTCGCCTCCGTGCTCGATGTGGGGTAGCCCTCGGACCATCTTCTCTAGCCAACCAAGCGCGTCGAAACTGGGATGTCCGAACTAGGCATGCCACAGCCACGGTTCCTCGGTGTGCCGTGCTGCCAGGCACACCGGCTGCTCCACCTTCAAGTTGAGTAGGTACAACCGGTTCTGAGACCTCTTTACCTTGGTAAGAAGTCGTTGTTCGCGGTCCCTGATCCTGAGGACTCCGTCCTTGATCAGTACCTCGCTACCGCGCTCATGCAGCTGGCCAATGCTGATGATGCTTGAACGCAGCTGCATAATATGCATCCGTTAGTGCGCGGTGCTCGCCATTCTGGCACCTGAAGATGATGGTGCCACGCCCTCGGATAGCCAACCTTGAGCCATCAACAAACTTCACCGTACCGATAACATCGTCGTCGAGCTCGGAGAAAGATGCCTTGGAGCCCGTCATGTGGTTGCTGGCGCTAGAGTCCAGGTACCACCGCTGCTCATGCACACCGCCCACACATCCGAGAACTTGGGCGCGGTTCATCGAGGTTGACAGCCTTCAGGGCCTTCCCAGACCCTTCCACCGTCATCACCTCTCCCTTCTCGGCCTCGACGTCATGCAATGCATAGAACGTCGCCATCAGGATAGTTGCCTCATCATCATCATCAGCTTGCGCCAGATGAGCCTCAGCCTTCTTCTCCTGCTTGTGATTTGGGCACTCCCTTGCCCAATTGCCCGTCTTCTCACAGCGTCGGCAGACGTTGGGGTCGACCTGCTTCTTCTCCGAAGAAGCCTTGTCGTGGCGCTTGCCATCGCCACCGCGGCTGGAGGAGGCTACCCCGGAGTTCCTCCGAGTAGCCCACTCCTCTGTCAGCAGCAGTTTGCCGCTATCCTTAGTTGCTGTCGCCTGCTCCAGGCGCTCGTCCACCGCCCGCAGACGGCCTGTCACATCCTCGATGGTGAGGGTGGACAAGTCCAGCATCGTCTATAGAGAGCGATCTGGATGTACTTTGCCGGCACAGAGTGGAGGTACTTAGAGACCGCCTCCTCTTCGTCGATGGTGATGCCGTGGCTCTTCAGCTTGTTGATGAGCATCTGCAGGCGGAGGGAGAAGTTCTCCACCGATTTTACCATCCTTGAACTTGAGGTTGGCGTACTCCTGCTTCAGAAGCTGGGTCGTTGCCTTCTTTGCGCGGTCGGAACCGACGCACATTGTCGCAATAGCCTCACACGCCTCCTTAGCAGAGCTCTTTGCCCCCAACGGCTCCCTATACTCCGCCGGTACAGCAGTGATGATAGCTTCCAGCGCTGACATATCTTCTTCATTTTCGGTGCCCTTGTCAACAGCATTCCAGAGCCGTCGGGCTCTGAGCTTGACCTTCATGGTCACCGACCACTCTCCATAGTTGGTGCGAGTCAGCGTCGGCCAACTGGTGCCGTTGACCTCCCGCACCGTGTGCAGAACAACCTCCTGTCCTGGCTGGGCAGCCACAGCAGCACCGCTGCTGTCGCCCATCTCCGAACCATGCGTCAACGCCAACGGTTAGTCCGGCGACGACGTTAACCTACCTCTGATACCACTTGATGGCCCACAGGATCACCGGCTCAGGTGAGTCGACCACTCACCAGTCTTGCCGACCACGACAAGCGTTGTCCGACCACACACTATGACTAGAGGTAGAAGAAGGGAGGAAGAACAGAGCATACACACACAGCACAAGACACCAGCGTTGGCCGGAGCTCTGTATAGAAGATGGCAAATCTGAACTCTCTTTACTGAGTTGCAGTGGCAAATTATATATACAACTCTATCCATCTAGTCCTAGTACAATTTGTCATCACATAAAGTGACTAGATAGATGGGCTGACTCGACGCCTTTGCCCCTGCTTGTGGCTACTGAGGCTGCAGGTGGTGGCGTTCGGCGCCGCTGCAGAAGAATGGCTACTGATGACCACAACAGGTACCTTTTCGGCGCCGCCTTCCCCTGCCTTGTGTTCACACAAGGGAGCAGTAGATTATCTAACCATTTTGTGAGCACCTTTCAATCAAAATGCATGTTGCGTACCAAGGAAGTATTTTTCAGAGAAGAGAATCAGCAATAAAGAAGACACACTCAAGTACCTTGAGAGGTGGTGCTGAATATATGTAAGAAAGTAAGGAGCCACCCACAGCAAGATAAAACACAATAGGAAAATCGTGCCCAGCCTGAAATGGCAAAGCATTATAAGATGCATGAAAATTTTAATTGCACCAACTTGTTGGTGCACAAAAACAATTACTTAAGGACTTACCCACACATCTAACAAAGCGCCAAATCCAAGCCCTCCTAGCAATAGCACCCAGATCTGGGTTATTACCTGAAGAGAATAATTTTCATCAGTATTACAGGGAGTCAGGGATGACATGATAACTTAGCCAGTTGGAGTTGGAAAAACCCTTGTAAATGATACCAGAATATCATTATCATCAAGAATCAATTTCATTTCAAATGTTACGCAGCAGCCAATGGCATTACATGTGCCACAATGGAAAAACAAATCCATTCAGGAATTAAAGCCAACTTGAAAGAGGGGATTCACAAATAGCAACAGGGCTACAACACCAAGCAAGATATCACATCTAACAACCAACCATATATATGACAACAGATATAACAACAAAGTACTAGCACTATAAATCAACCAAAGATTAAATGCAAGACCAAACAGGACGGGTAGATTGAAATGATAAGCTACCTAGATTTCAAGTTTTGGAAAAACATGATGTCATTCAAAAGATGGCAACATCTCCAAGTTTATAGTTTGTTTATCCACCCCCATAGACACATGTGTCCAGGTGGATACTTTTGGTGCAAACCAGTAGTGCCATTGTAAGACAAGCATGCCGGTCCTCAAACTCAATCTCTTGTTTGTTGTCTAAATATAGTATAAAACCCCAACGCTTCAACTTGCAAAATAACATTCTGGAAAGGAAAGGAAAGAAAAGAATGGCTCATTGATGGAAAAGAAATAACTGGTGTATGAATGGGTTTTATTTTGTGGATTGCTGGCATCCCTAAAATGGCAAGTTTGGACTCATGTACCTACAAACTAGTCAATAGTTGATGAAACTAAGCATGCATATAATTACATATGCCGACAAGGGACCCCATTTTCTCAAATATAGACATACCTCATTTTCTGATATAGCATCCCATGGAATAGGGCGATAAGGCTCATTAATTGCATCAATGTCTCGATCATACCAGTCATTAAGTGTCTACAAGCAAGAATGTTTGGCTGACATACTTATTAGTAGAAATAGTCTCCCACACAGCATGTCTGAGGATATAAATGAAGGCCGACAAAGAGAATTTGAAAAGTAAACCTGTGTGTATCCTGTAAGGCATGGACCAGACATTATCATGCATACAATAGATTTTGCGACATCTTCAACTGTCCAGTGGAAATTTCCTGAATGTGACAGATTAGGGGAAAAACAACATAATCATACATACTAGTCATACGCCAAAAGGAACAGTGTTCATAAGCACAACAATTGGACACTGTACTCTGGTTCCTTTATCCTAAAAGCCTAGCCATCTGGATCAAAAGGAGTTTGATGTTGTTTTGTAAGTGCTGGGCTCGCTAGTTTGAATTCAACAGAAAGAAGGATGGACCTATAGATCTTCTAGGCTACATTGCTTTTCTGATGCAATAAATGTCGGTCGCTAAATACTTCGTTATAAGGATGAAGATTCAATAACACTATAGTTGATTAGCAAAGTAGGAAGCCCTTAGGAAGGTGGACAACCAACAACATAGTAGCAATGCACTACTAGATTTAATTACACAGGACAAATGCAGTTCCCAAAATTCACAGGTTGGGTTGTTTTTATGAAGTAGAGACACAAAAGCATTCAAGGAACAGATATAAACTGTTATAGGCAGCAAAGCATACCAGAGGCAGCTGCTCCACAGAGAACTCCCCATACAAGCGGAGGCCATGTCACTGGCTTAGTAAGTTGAAGACGGATCTTCCATATGTCCTGTGTCAACACATGAAAGAGGGCACGGATGAATATTATTACAAGTTTCCAGTTTCTAGACACAAATGGCTAGATTGCAAAAGGTAAAAGAGGTATTCATGTTATTAACTGCTGGAGACGGTAAACAATTAAAATTACACGTCTGGGAAAAGAATGCTCGAAAAGGTTTTCTGAAAAAAGGGTCAGGTTCACTTTTTTGGCCTCCAACTTGCACGACAGTTCGATTTTCAACCTAAACTACAAAGCCGGGTACTGGACGCCCTCTAAATGTTGAAACCGGACAAATTTAGTCATCTTGCTGGTTTCAAAGGTGGTTTTCTATTTTCTAAAAATAATAAAAATTGGTTTAATCTCTAAAAATTCATTCCGAATTTATTTTAAATAAGAAAAATATGAAACTAGTACCAATTGTTTTCTAAAAATGTAACCTATCTGTTGGTGATTTATTTGTAGTTATTTGGATCTAATTTGTTTATGCTTCTAGTGTTTCATTAACAGGTGTGACTATAAGCAATTAAACACTAGGAACATAAACAAATATGATCCATATAACTCCAAATAGAGCACCAACATATAGATAACACTTTTAGAAAAAAATCAGTACTAGTTTCATATTTTCCTGATTTAAGATAAATTAGTTATGAATTTTTAGAGATGAAACCAGATTTTTATTATTTTTGGAAAAATAGAAAACCATCTTTGAAATGAGCAAGAGACCAAATTTGTCCGGTTGCTACATCTGGAAGGTGTCCTATACCCAGTTTCATTGTTCAGGGCTGAAAATCAAACTGTTGAGCAAGTTGGAGGATGAAAAAAGAAAAAATAGACTTTACCCTAAAAAAGTGGTGACATGTCACTTGAAAATTATGTTGCGAGCTACGAATATTACTCAACTTTTCCATTGAAGGAAAATCCTGGCTATGTGCAGGATGAATGATTTACTGAATGTAGGGCAAAGCATATCAAGCAATTCTGCCAAAATAATGTAACATATGCAACCTGGTCAAATGCTTAGCTGTTAGAGAGAAGTAACATGGTAGCAGCATGCACAGAAGGCAAAGCTCATTTCCGAGAACCAAATTAGTTCTTTGTTTGTGGATCTAAGCCGCTGCTATATTAGTTGTTTGTACATACCCACATTCACCGGTTAGCAAAGACAATGGCGAACCAACAAGGTGACAAGCCGACAACGTTGCAATGTGTAACTGTGTAAGAGAGACCAGAGCCCACATTCAAATTAATTTAATTTCGCGGCAATAGCAATTTAGAGTCTGCCACATAGCATTTCTGGGCTTTCTCATTGTGAAGGCCAGCGCATGGAAATTTGGAAACCATGTAGTTCTAAGATTTGTACTCCTATTTAATACCCAATTATCCACAAAACCAGGCCAAAGCCACCCAGTGCAATATATACCCAATGCACGGGAAGAGGTTGAGGGAAGACTCATGCTCTCCTGATTGGCACCGTTGATGCCGAGCACCTGGTTGAAGCTGGAGCCATCCGTCGCGGGCGCCTTCTCCGGGGCCTTGGCGTTCGCCTTCGCTGCGCAACCAATCAATCACGCCCTCAAAGAGTTAGAGAGCAACGGAAAACGGCAGAACAGCACACGGAGGGGCCGTGACGACAAGCACGCACTGTCTTTGGCGTCGGTCTCAGCCGCGCGTACCACCGGGAACAGCCGCTTCCCTGTGAATGGAACCGACATGCATCAGGTCAGTCAAACTTCTCTCGGCAGTGTGTTGTTGCGTAGGCTGGAGAGACTACGGCAGTACCAGTACGGTTGAAGCGGAGATGTGGTGGATGCGGTGGAGAGCGGAGGCGGAGAGGAGGGCGGAAGGCGGTGGAGGAGGACGAGGCGGCGGCGGCGGCCATGGTGAAGAGCCGAAGCGGGGGAGTGAGGAGCCCGTGAGGCCGGGAGGGCCTGAGAGGGGAACCGATACGTCCTGTTCGCTGGTACTTTCAGCCCTCTCTTTCAGCCAAGTGAATAGGGCAAGTGGCGCTCGTATATGTGGCCACTCGTGACGAAGAAAGAAGAATTTAAAAAAAAAAAGGAATGTTGGCAACAAGCTGAGTGGAAAGTTAGAAACGAGGCCCAACAACGGCCTGTTACCATTCAACCGTGTTTCTATCTGATTTCATTGGCTCTTTGATTTGTTTTTCTCGATCAGAAGATAAGATTTTTATCTTTTAAAGAAAAAAGTCTATCTTATCTCCCTCGACTATTATTCGAGTCTGATTTATTTTCCTCAATCAGAAAATAAGATGTTTAGACTCTTATGTGACTCTGATTTATTTTCCACAATTAGAAAATAAGATTTTTAGACTCCTCCAACTCTTGAAATCTTTTGATTTATCTTTTGGGGTTGTTTTGAAAGCAGCTTTTGCTAATATGCATCACGTCAGCCATCCTAAGTAATGCTACGCCAGTTACAAGAGAGGTAAATCAGAATTTCAGGATAGTTTAGGAGGTCAATTAGAGTTTATAGAAAAATGTAAAAATAATTCTTAAAAATTGTTATAGAAAAATGCAGTTTATAATTATTTCTATAAACTCTAATTTTAAAATGCAGAAATGATGGTTTCTATAGAAAAATGCTCCAGGCCTCAGGACCCGCTAGAGGATCAAATGCAATCTATGTTAATAATTATTAGGCGAAGTAGTTTAATACTCCCTCCGGTTCTATAAAGCAAGTCGTTTTGAGGTTGTCTTAAGTCAAATATTTTAAACTTTGACTACAAATAATTTCTTTTGGGTTGAGTTTGAAAATATGAAAGTGATGTAAGTAGATTCATCTCGAAATGTAGTTTCATAAAAATATATATTGACTATATTTTATAGATATTTTATAGCAAAAAGTTGCAGTCAAAGTAGTTTAGTTTAATACCATATACTCTGTGTACCATATACTCTGTGTATGCTTTTAATTATTTTTTATTGTTCTTCTCTAGGAATGGTAAAAGTAAAACCATCATATTAGAGTTTACAATTATTTCACAAATTTGCCAACATCATCTACTGTTTTAAATTTATAATAAGAAGAGCATGCAAGGTTTCTTTTCTCAAGTGTTGTGCCAAGATGACATTTCTTTTTGCAGTAACGCGGTGTACTGTGTTAAACAACATTATTTTCCTTTGGACTACAAATCTGTGTAGTTATTAATGCAAGATAAGTTAGAAATAATAATTATTTGTTTATTTTGACTTAGGTAGAGCCTATTGCACCACGGTTATGCTATTATTTTTTAGAAAAATCCCAAATAAGATAAAAAATGCGGCTTTCCTATATGCCACTGAAAAAAATTATATCCCTATATCGCACGTGATTCCTTCTTCATTACTTTCATGAATATTCCACTATACGTTTGGGTGGGCATTTAAAATCTGCAGTACCCTTGTTTAAGTTGTCTTGCACCGTTCTCATCCCTTTCCGTTCCTAAGAGGGCTTAAAGTCCCGAAGTGCTAGATATATGTTTGTCTAGATTATACTAAAATCTTTTGTCTACTCTACTAAGTTTTATGCTAGAGTTGTCTCATTTAATAAAGAAGACTCTACTAAGTTTTATGAAAAAGAGTTGTCTCATTTAATAAAGAAGATCGCTGGTTATAGATGAGGGGGTTTTTACTCACTCGACCTGAGCCCGTATAGATCTTTTATTTATATAAGCCACGTTATTTTTCCCCTAGTCGGTCCCTATCGATATGGAGATTCAGATCCAGATACAAATCCTGAGCTTAGTCAAGGGTTATCTCAATCAATATAATTCACAAAGACACATGATGTAGGGGTCTGAACCTGTCTAAATCTTGTGTTCTTGTGCTTGTGTTACCATCCGGTTTCGATCCCATGCACCTCTACCACACAATCTACCATCGTGGGTGGGTGTGTGTTGATCCCACGACGAACCAGATGGGAATTTTCTTCACCAACGTCATCCACGGCGACGCGGCTTCCCGCGGCAGGCGTCCTTCGGCAACGTGTTACGGCATGAGGATTTGATCGACGTGTCCATGGGCCTTGGCGGCAGCGTCGCTCGTTGCTTGCTGGATCATCGCCACCACACGTACTCATGATTCCCCGAAGTCCCGATCAGACGAGACTTCCTGGCCAGCACACCATGCGTCAAGGCAATCAAACAAGGAGCAAACACGCACACACTTGCATCGGCAATTGTCATCGACCCTCATCATCCCCCGACAGCATCCTCCGTCAGCTAGTGATGGAACTCGACGCAAGCCCCAGCGTACGGCAACATGGCCCCGTACGTCGCCGGCGGAAGCTGATAAGAGCAGGCCAGGAAATCCTAATCAAGATCTCGACGATCAGGGCCATGCAAGTAACACGTATGGCCATGCAAGTCGACTACAAAACCTGAGATACGGAGTATTCGTGGGCTTGCATGTGCCGATAATTAAGCATACCCTTCCATGATTGGATGGCCACTCCAATCGAACAAGCTAAGTCAACTTTTTAATCTTCAATCAAATATCCTATGATATAGTATGTGTCCAGATATCTACATATGCGTATGATTATTTTGGCAGGAATCTAACTGCGCTTGTTTTCATTCTGCGTCGTCTCGCATTGGTGGCACAGATCTCATCGGCAAGCCTCTAGCTAAGCGAGCCGCCCGAGCCACCACCCGAGCCGCTAAGCCAGCCACCCGAGCCATCAAGCGAGCCGTCCACGCCATATCCATCTACTCGGACATCATACACGACGACTACTCCACTCAGCCGTCTATCAAAGCGCCATGCAACATCACTTCTTCGACCAGATCGAATATGGCTACGTCAACGATCTTCCCGAATCTAATCTACCTAAGGCCGACCAGCAGCGTAAAGACGACGTCGCCCGGACTACTCGCTTCGACCGCCTGCCGCCATGTCGCAATGATGATCACCGCGAAGAACGGCGCTATGACGACCGCAACTGCGCCATGACGACGAGCCGAAAAGCTCGAGGGCTGAGCAATTTCGTCGACGACCATATAACGTCTCATTTAATAGAAAGATCATGAATCTTTTTACTCACTCGTCCCTACTGAGCCACTTTATTTTTATTCAGTTGGTATCCCTCAATGTCACAATACTCTTTTACTAACTAGAGTTTGGTACTCTTTTAATTGAGATACATTCAAGAATCATAATTATCGATAATAATCTTAGCTAGCCATAGCTTTTGTAAGGAGAAAAATATGATGCTCTGAAATACTCTCCGGTGCGCTTTGAGCATAGAACTACCAACAAGATGAGAATGTATGCATGTGTGTAATGTTCTGCCTTCAATCGTGTGTGCGGGCCATTTTTACGGTGGACTTCACTTTCGGCCTTTGCTGGATAAGATGTGTATGGCCGTATGGGCCTGATGGCACAGATGGCGGCCGCTTCGTGACTGTTCAACCAGAAATAGGAAGGTTGCATACTTGCATTGTGTGTGTGGTCGAGGTGAAACGCTCAGGTGCTCAGGTCTCAAGGTCGTGGGGGCTGTATGCTTGGATATTGTCGGTGTGAGGCTGTGAGGATCTCTTAGGGGTAAGCAGTGGCACCCCATCATCTCTTCTCTGTGTAGCGATTTCCTTCACCGAAATGCTTGAGCTTCTAGTACGCACGCACTATGCCCTTGCAACCAAGTGAGTCCAGGACATATGTGAGCGAGCCTCTGTTCATATACGACTCAAACCTACCCAAATTAAATAATGAGTAGCACGACAGCGCATGAAAGATCGTAGGACCTGTTCGTTTCGCTGAAATTTGGTTTACGCTAATGCTTATACTGATTTGTGGTGAAAGAAAAACATTGTTCGTTCATTAAAAATACTGCTGCAGCAGACGTTAATAGTATACATGACCACTTCAGATTGTATGCATGCATGGTGTGATGGTGAGTACCACTCGTAGCAAAATAAATGAGGTCTCGCCACAATTCCTAATTAATTAGTGGATCAGCTGATAAGGTTTTATTAGCAGCAATAATGCATATGGCGCGAGGACATCTGTCGTATTTTGTTTGTATTTATTTCTGGCTACGAGGATTCTCTCGCCTTGTCAGGTCCACACACACGAGCACACGGGAAAGCGATGGCGACAGCGATGGCGATGGCATGGCTAAATAATTGCGATTTCCCTGGGCTCCGTACTGTCATCGACCGGGTACCAACCGGTCGGCGCTTAAAATGACCTGCATGCTGCATGCATGCATGGTGAAAAACTGTAAACACGCGGTGGTTGGAGTGGACTACTAGGCCTCGCTCCCGTGAGCCGTGAGATATTATATCATCATCTTGCCCATGGCGTTGCTGTCATTCCCGGCTGACCCCTGCCCCAATTATAGTACTATTTTTTTTAGCCTTATAGGAGTACCTTTTTTTACAACATATAGGAGTACTATTTTAGGTACACTTTCACCGTTGCACGAGGAACGCGTGCACAAGGTACGGCCAACATTCCTTGTACACCACCAAATTTCCAAACAACAAGGACCCACACATGGCCACAGCATCGGGAAACGGGATAAAGCGTGCAACAGGTAGGAAAGCAATATTAGAATTCGCCAATCAGAATGAGACATGTGAAGCAACAAAATATAAAGTATACAGTACGGAGAAACTCAGATAGTGTGACGATAACAATAATTATAGGTTCTTGCAATCTATAGGGTTTTTCTATCGGTAATGCCACCTCCATGCGCCGCCGCTCCCATGCGACCCCACGCCCACATCCCACGGAGACGAAGACGACGGCGGCGGGGTTAGGGTTCCAGCAACGACGGCGGATGCCTCTTTCTCTAGCATCTCTTCCTCTTTCATCTCTAGCTACGTCGGGTATAGAAGGGGTTTTGGGGAGGCAGGCTGGCCAAGCGGAAGGGACGGCG